AGGTGACCAGTAGCGGCCTGGGAGGTGTAAAGCCAGTGGAAGTGTTGTAAATGTTGATAGGTAAATGGCAGGTTCTCCCAAAACAAGTTGGGGAGGGGGGGAGGGGGGGGGGGTTTAAACCTATCACTTTTTGATGAAATTTCTTGATATCACTTGAAATAGTTAAATGGCAATGAGAATAAAGCTATGAAGACAGGGCTAGGTACATTCATGGTGAAGAAGAATTGTCCGATGATCATTTGAATCTTCAATGGAGTTTTGACAGACGAGCCGATTGAGGCAAGATGATTAGTGTCTACAATTTTATCCTTCTCTTTTAATTAGTTTTGCTGAGTAGAAATATAATGTAATGAATTAACGAAGGTATAAGTAAATTTATATCAAATGGCAGGCTTTATGGTAGCTATCATTAGCCCTTTAGTTGACTTCGGGTTTCACAGAGGGGAAGGAACATCCAAATCACAAAAAGTCGAGAGGGGGGGGGGATGGACAGAAGAGTGATTCACAGATGTAAAAGAGGCAGACACGAAGGTTGAGGTAAAGGTAGGTGAGGGGAGTAGTGTAGAAGTGGTTGAATTTGACGTACAGTTGGGTTATGGTAATTTGTAGTCAACTTCCGGTCTATCGACTTTTTTCCCTGTATGAATATACGTTATCCAGAATGCACCACGTGGAGGTAGGTCTATCGCGCATCCCACTCTACCTGTGGTAGCTTATTGAAAACGCTTCCAGAGTTGGGCTTGTTGTGAGCTACTTGTTCTTATTTTCTGGGATATTTTTTGCTCCCCAAATCTTTTCGTCTAAAATACACCCAGGAAAAAGATTAGGGCGTACTTTTTGCTTTCCTCCTTATCTCAATTTCACCGTCTACATCCATCAGTTTTATGTGATAGATGACTTCTCGCTTTGCTTTTATTTTTAATTACACAGAATTTTTCCCTGAAATTGTCTGGGGGCTTAGGCTATAATCGCTCAATCTCATTAAAAAAATTTGCTCAAGAGGCTTTGCTGCCTGTTATCTGTAAAATTGTTGACCAGTTGGCTGTCTGGTCTTTAATTAAATGGGAGGGGAGGGGGGGGGGGGGGGNNNCTTGGAAAGTAAGCACTATTTATAATGCTTTTTAAGTTATAAAGGAACCCCCCCCCCAGCCCCCCCCCTCTTTGGCTTCAGTGGGTTGATTACTCCCCTAGATTGCTAGTCCTATGTGCTCTCCGTTCCACTAACGACGGCTTGGTCTTATAATCGGATTGATTTTGGCAACAACTTCCTCCGCATTCTCTCCTTCTCACGTCTATATGTTTCACCTGTCAGCAATTTCCTTTAAAGTACCACTCCACAGTCAACTCCCTCTGCTGCCAAAATAGTGATCGATCGCTTTCCACTTTTGACTAATTAAACTTGTCTCCTATGTCGGCCGAGTGTTGCAATGAATTGGACAGAGCCATAGACTCAACAGCTGACGTTTCTGTGTTCTCGAATTAAACGCGGTGATACATGGTTATCTAATTAAAACAACGTGCCATAGACCAAATCACTCTCATTTGCTCACAAAGTTCTAAAATAGGATCCAATTTATTATGAAAGGAGTTAGTAATGATACGCTTAGACTGTCTTTCTTCCATATATTATGCTTGTTATGGATATCGGTCGCTGATGCGAGTTCTTTCCACTTCAGTGTCTGGGATATGGCAGACGATAGTGAAGACCTTCCTCTCTCTAATCTATCGAAGTGTTGATTCCTTTGAATTTTTGTAAAATATTGATTTTGCCTTTTTCGTGTTAGTTGTTGTTTCTTTTTGCCTCTCTGTTGCCTATTTAGCTGTTCTAAGCGTGAGAAAGCCCTCCTCCTTTATTGCCTTTGAATAATTTATTAGTTATGTCGCGCTTCCATCCCCATTTGTGCATGCGGATGTGGAGTTGGCATAACTCCTGCTCCGACTTTCTACGCCAACCAACCAACCAACCAGCAATTTGGCTTTCATTTAAACGCATTTAACAACTTTAAAACAGTCGAAAAATAATAAGTTGACTTGCAGTAGACAGAGCGGTTGTTTAATTCCATGACGTTTTTGTGTCACCGTAATAATTACCTCCATTTTTCATCCGTTGAAGTGTACAGGCCAGTGCCTCACCCGTTTCCCTCATGTATCACTTCTACTTCTCAATCTAGTTGTTCCATTTCGCGCGCGCGCGTGCGTGCGTGTGTGTGTGTATCAAGATTAAATTTGACGACTTCGACACGTAACGCCACCTCTTCCTATTTGCATAAAATTTTGACATAAAATATAAGCTTGAATGCTTGCAGACAGCCCCCCCCCCCGCACAGATTACTTAATACTTTAACTGAAAATGATGTAGATAATTAGATTATTATTATTACACGGTGAGTTCCGACTATCTTTCCAGATTCAACAACAATGGTTGGAATATGTATTAGTGTAGCTAGGAGGGGGGGGGGGGACATTACAGAATGGAGAGGTTTCAAAACAGCATGAATACAGTAGCGCTTATCTTTTCATGAATATTAACATAGTCATCTTTAATTTGTTTTTGCAGAATGAATATTTCTAATTTGCGTGTATGTAGTGATTGGGATATATAATTTAATTTAATTTAATTTGTAATAACCTCAGTCACATCATAATTTAATCAAATTCCAGACCACCTTTTCCCCTCTCTGTATTTCAATTTGCTAGGCTCTTCCTGTTTTGATTTTTTTTGTTTCAACCCTGGCAATATCTGTTTTAATGTTACAAATAAATTTTATACCATAAAAATTAAAAAGATAATAGTAGTAGTAGTAGTAATAATGACAATAATAGCGCTTCACCACCTATCTACGTTTACTTATTGTGTTAATCTGTCAAGAGATGAGCTATCAAAAGTGGGCCCAAGAAGATGGGTAGATGGAGATGTAATTTCTTATAGGTGGATTTGGGCCGTGGGCTAGTATTTAAGCATTTATTTATTTATTTCGAAGGGCAGGCATTTTGATAGATATCATTAGCTCTTTAGCTGACTTCGGGCTTCGTAGAAAGGAGGAGGAACATCAAAGTCACCAAAAGTGGAGAGTGAGAATGGAAGAGTGATTCACAGATGTGAAGAGAAAAAAGCAGAGAAAAGGTAAGTTGAGTACGGCAAAAGTTGTCGAATATGACATGCAGTGGGGTGATGGTAGTTTGAAGTCAGAAGTAAACTGTCGGTTTATAGACTTTTCTGCCGTATGAAAGTACGTTGTCCAGAGTGTACCATGTGGAGGTAAGTCTATCACACACCTCTGAGTACGCTATTTAAGCATGACATCCACCTATATGACATGCATGCCTATAGGGCAATGATGAAAGCTCCGAAGAACGTAAACTGCTTCCGCGGGGATTCCAGAATTAGGCGCACATTTACAATGTGGGAGTTACGTTTAATAGGGTTTCGTAGAAGTAATTTTAGCCAATAACCATCCAGGGTACTGAATATACTAACCTTCTCACCAATAAAATTAGATCATCTCCTCAATTATTACCAGATATCTCTTCATGAAAGCGGACGTGATAAGCTAATCACCATTTCGAGTTTTCACCAACTTCTGCGCATAAGTATGGACGTTCGCCTTGTAGAAATAGTAAACGGAATAGGTGAGACCTGAATATGCAGAAATGCAGTAAACGAGACAAATTAATGACAAGGAGGAGGGGTTGGGGGTGGGGGTGGGGGGTGGGGGTGGGTGTGGTCTTAAATGTAGATTAGGTTCAAAATTTGTTTAAGGAAGACAGATGATGACAGTCAAGTGAAGTGTAATTATCTTGATCTCGAGATAGCCTTGTCAAAAGAGTGCACATAGCGTGTCAGCATTTATCTTTGTGGTTTTTATTACTGAATTGGTGCCTTTTATATGAAATATTACAATTTACATGACTAACTCAACATATGCTAATCGTTGTCTTTAAAGCGAACACTTTTGTAATGTAATAACGATCAATGTGCGGAATTTTTTGGTATATTCTCATTCCGAAAAGTATTCAGGTCTCGTCTATTTCTCTTTTAACTGATGATGATTTGAGTACTTTTTTGCCTTTCACAGATGTGTATCGAGCAGATGATCACCACCGGAAAGGTTCGTGAACAGCAAGTTCGACAGTACCTTCATGAAAATGAGTTTCTTCTACGAACTCCCACGGTTCAAAGTAACGGTGTTCAGCAACCACCCCCATCGCTAGCTGCATTTGCCGACATATCCACTGGAGATGATTCAGAAGAAGAAGATGATGATGATGACGATGATGATGATGAAGTTGAAATGGCATCCACTTTACTCCAACTCATGCGAGATGATGCGCGTTTGGAGGCTCTTAACGCTGTGCATATTGAGAATATTATTGCAGAGAGAGATTCTTGTGCTCACCTTAAGGTAAATCGCTTTCCCATTTTTATTCTCTCTACTGCTGCTAGTGAGCACCGAGTTTAGCCTAATTCTCCTCCTCCACCTCCGCTCAGAATGCGTGTTGAGATAAATTCCATTTCAGTTGCCTGGGATAGTTTTGGTTATAATTAATTTTTTTGCTGCGGTCTTATCGATAGAAATCTTACATCTCACTCTGCTGTTATATACCAGCGGGACCTGCGGCAACAGAGTTGTCAGTTTGGGAAGTCTAGTTGTATGCGTTTGGGGGGCAAATGATAGGATCTAGCTGTGTTTTCATCATTGGGACTGAGGGATAACGCCCAGCTTCTATTGAAAGTATAATTGTGCCAATAATTCCCTGTATCCTCCTCCTCCTCAAGGCTGTACTCAAAGTCCATTGTGTGCGTGTGTGTGTGTGTGTGGGAGGAAAAAAAACGAAAAATTATTTGATGTTTCGAGGGCAACTTCAAAGATCTGATGAATTGAGACTGAGGCTTCGGTGGAAATTATCGTGAATTATTGAAGAAGTGCATCCGAGAGTAACGGGCTCGTAGATTTTGATGTTATCATTGAAAGTCACATTCCTCCTCTCCCCCC